GTGGTCTCCCTATTTTCCTTGTACCTACTCTTATGGAGATATTTCAGAAATAACTTTACTCGTATTGTACTACCATCAGACAGAGTACGTGGATACGACGAAAGCGTAATCCAACCTAGGTAGTAACCGTGGGGTCTTTATTTATTATTATTATTATTATTATTATTATTATTATTATTAATGGCTTTATTCAATATTATAATCTGGTACAATATACAATTCTCAGCACGAGTTATTTCAACAAGTTTTTTTCCAAAAAAACAAAAAAAAAACAAAAAACAAACAAAATAAAACAGAAAAGGAATGAAAAAGGTTTAAAAAAAACTGATTTTATACAAATTATCAAATTTGAAACATGCTTAAGAAGACAGGTTATTTACTAGGTCAACTCTAACAGCCTGTTCGTCACAAAGTAAATTTGCTAAGTAAAGTATTACAGAACTTTTATAGACTTGCTTGCGTGTATAGATTTTAATGTATTTACGTCTCGTTCTACCAGAAGATATACAAGGAGAAAGATATGAATGCAGCGGATGGTTAGTATCTGATAAGATAACACCTGCCAAGAGTTTGCAAGACTTAAGATGTCTATCCACAAGCATATTAATAATGACTTCAAAAGATTCACCACATACTTTGCAAACCGCCTTCAGAACTCTACGCGAAACAGCAAGGTCTTTTCTCAAAAACCCGGGAAAGAATAATGGAGAACAATATAGAATAATAGGTAATATGCAGGAATTTACAAATTGTAAGAGTAAATGGCGAGCATTCCCAAAAGCATGCAGCCTCTTTATATAGTATATCAAATGGTAAACTTTTTTCGATAACAGTAAAACATGAGAAGACCAAGAAAGATCAGAGGAAAAAATGACACCAAGATATTTGACTTTCGACACTGTGTTTATTAAGGAGTCTCCAATGGCACAAGCATTATGGGATCCCAACATAGAGTATAGGTTCTGTCCATGTCTCAAGCTAAAGTTAACAGCTTGACATTTAGATGGATTGAGTAAGAGACCATTACCAACAGACCACCTTTCAATACGAGATAAAAACTCATTCATTTCTATGGGATGTAAGGAGGTAGAAATCAGCATACATACAGTGAGGTCGTCCGCATATTTTACAAAAGTGTTTTCTGTGGAAGATGGCAGATCATGTAGAAAAAAAGAGAACAGTAGAGGTGAAAGAACAGCTCCTTGTGGCACACCTACAGTAGACAGTAGAGATGTTGAACACTTTCCTTCAAATACAGTGTACTGTTCTCTTCCAGAAAGGTAGGAACATGGTCAGTTGGTTATCCAACTGTCAGTGTCGACGCTGATCAGCTTGTTAAGTAAGAGGTGTCTTGGAATAGAATCAAAAGCAGAAGTAAAGTCCAGGAAAGCGCATCTAACATACTTCTTACCCTTTTCCAACCCGAACACTATATTGTGATGCAGAACAGCAACGGCATCTAATGTGCTTCTTTTGAATTTGTAAGCAAACTGATATGGATCACAGTGCTTTTTTATTGCAGGTTGAAGTGGTTGTATCAGTAATTTTTCCATTATTTTAAGGAAAGGTGAAGTTATTGCAATGGGTCTAAGTTTCGCATTTTTAACACCAGAAGCTTTCTTAAGTATAGGGATTATCTTTCTCTTTCTCCACATTTTCGGTAAGACATTAGTTGAGAAGGATCTGTTGAAGATATTCGTTAATGGATAACATAAAACATCAGCACATTTTTTAAAAAGGAGGTTTGGGATACCATCAGGTCCTAAACATTGGGATGGATTAAGTGACTATAGACATTTTCGGACATCATTTTCAGTGAAACTGGAAACACAATTATTCTTCAGACCCTTGGATATGGGGAGCATGATGTCAGATGACTGACGTATAAAGGACTTATTTAAGTCACAAGCATTCAGCTGGTTATCGCTTCTAGTCTTCCTGTTCCCTGTAATTTTTTTAAAGAGTTTCCACATACTTGGAGAGCTTTTACAAGATAGGAGTTTTTGAGTAAACACAGAGTTGAGACTGTGGTGTTGTCTACTTATATCCATATAAGTAGTATATGGCGTGGGTCAGACATAGAATGTATTTTCGCAGAAGACCGATGAGGAAAGAACTGAAATGAAGCGCAATCGTTTGGAAAATGCATGATGAATGGAATAAGAGAAGAAACAGTGAAGATTGAAACAATTGGTTATTAATTTGCAAATCGACTGTTCATTGTTTGGTTATCAGAATTTACCGAGATAGTCCGTAATGTTTGCTGAAATACATTCGATTGTCCCCAACTAGTGTTTTGTTCACTACAGAGACGTCCAATCTCTTGGTTTATTTGACCATTTAACTTCAATGGTATTTTTCTCCTTGTACATCCTTTCTTTTACCCCCCGTAGTCGTTTTAGTTGTGGAGATGTAAGTCGATCAAAACTTAAAAAGAAGGTTTCGGTAGGACAGCAAATATCAAAACAGAATTTAAGATAAGAGGTGATAACATCAGTTGTGTTTTCTATTGAGTCTTCTGTAAATAATTCCCAGTTGGTCGTACGAAACATGCTTTTTAGATTTTGTAAATTTTCTTCTGAGTAATTCCTGTATATTACTTTTTTGGTATGGTGTATGTGTGTAATATTTCCATGTTTACCATATACTTTAGGTAGGACACGAATTATACAGTGATCCGAGCTAGACAATGGAGCACGTTTGCGAGTCACATAGATATCCAAATCATTAATGAAAAGCAAGTCTAGGTGAGCATTCAAACGAGTAGGAAAATCGGTAAGACTAAACTATACTGCCGAACCAATCAGAAGCTTTCGCGGGTTTTCAAGGTCAAGTTCGGTACCTGATGCTTACGTACGGTCGGTTTACAGCGGATTTTAGGGAAGACGTGATAATTCAGCGTCTACAAGAGGAGTGATCATAAGATTTTGGCGCGAAATTCAATTATCCATTTGGATAAATAGAGTTTTGGCATTATAGCTTATGTCAGTTCGTGATGAAAACCCTAAGTATAATTCCTAGCCTTAATCGTGAACGTTAAATCATAATTTTAATTCTTCACATAGGTTTATACCCTAGTTTGGTCTTAGTTATTATGTTGACACTCAGGGTCACTCTAGCGTCGCCCAAAGGTTGTCCATAACTAATAGTCTCACCCGTAACCCTAAACCCTGGGTCCAAATCTTAACCCTAACCCTAAACCGTAAACCATACCAATATACTAACATTATTGAAGCTATGTGGTCGAGGCTAAAAGAAGTTTTGAGACCTTATCATGGTTTCGGAGGTCGACTACTATGGAGCCATATGGATGTGTTCCTGTACCGTATGCACTATGATTTTAGAACTTCTGAACCTATATATGACCTTGAGAAGTTTTTGACTCATGTAAAAGAAGTGTTTCCACTTTTATTCTTCGGTTTTGTATATTAAATTTTTATTGTACACTAACTGTCTTCTGATCGGCTAATATTTCTCAGGGTCATTTAATATTCGTTCGAAGGTCGGCAGTATAGTTTAGTCCTACCGGAAAATCTACTACATTTAGGTGACCTAGTGATGTAAGGGAGCTACAGTCACATGAATTGAAATCACCACATACAATTAAAGGGAAACACTGAAGGCAGCGAAGACAGATAGCGCAGATGATGTGCAGTCTGGAGTCATGTAGATATTGGTAACATAAATATATTTGTATTTATTCAGGTGTTTTGGACGGCACCTTAAAGTTAGACAGTCAATAAAGTCATTTGAAAACTTGAAACAGGCAAAAGTAGATTGACACCAGTTAAAGTTTACAAACGTAGCTACTCCGCCACCATAAGTCTTTTTGTTGTTTGATCGATCTTGACGATAGATATTAAAATCACGTAATGATACTAAGCAATCATCCTGTAAGTCAGTTAACCAAGATTCTTGAATTGTGATGACACCACAATTACGATACATGTTTTGACTTAGCAGAAATTGGAGATAGTCCACCTTGTTAATTAGAGATCGACAGTTAGAATTAAACAGCTCTGGAATCGACATTTGATTAATGTTCATTCTCTTTAATGCATATTGCCAACCACCATGATGTCTCTTATTGTACTTATTTGTGATTTTTGCAGCGAAAGGACGTAAGCTTTTCATAAACGTGCTTGTATAGGTTATGCGATTAATAGACATAATTATAAGTTAAAACGAAATTAAAAACCCAGATAACTTGTTGAAATATTTAGATGGTAGAAACAGGTAGCCCAGGTATTCACGCAGGCCGCCTACAAACATTTGACGTAAGCTGGAATGTCACGTCGTTCAAGTTAGACTTGAGTAAGCCTGCAACCAAGGACGCAGAAAACCGACGGGGTGATGTACAGCCTTTTTAGGCAGCTTTCTTTCTAATAGTGGTAAAATTGGAAACCACTAGCGAGTATAACAATTGGGTGGAAGATTATATTTCCAATACTCTCAAGGTCTGAGCTTGGAGTAAACTCAATGCTTCCCTTGACATTACAGTTCGAACATTTTCAATGAAATACCAGAATTGTCAAATGTGGAATTTCGGGTTAAAGTAACGGTGTAGATATCTACATATAGATCTGACGAAATTAAAGTTCACCGATCACATATACTTTGACTAAAAATTTATTGTACAAATTTGTTGTGTGATCATATTTCTATGAAAAGTTCACATCACATTTCCAAGTGAGGAGTTTGGTTTGCTCATAGTTCCGCCGCTGAGATTTTGACAAGCAGAATTTCCTTACCAATAAAATACTTAAAGTCGGCATCCAACTACTGTAAAACTATTTTCACTGCATATCTTGTTACGCTTCCATCTTCCATTTCGCTTTTTGTTCCGCCACGAATGCCACTGGATCTGACGTAGTGTTACCACACGTGCAACATAATAAGGTTCACGTATTGCTGTTTAAGTGTACCAAAATGTGACCTTGAGCGTAAGTAACGTTATAACTCTATTTTAAGTATCCGTGGACAACGTGTGTTAACTAAATATGCCACGCTGTCGCAAAGGAAGGAAGAGCCCCTACAGAACTGATGAAATAGCACAAAATGTTAAGAGTTCGTTTATTAGAGATGGAGAAAATAACTTGCGCAATTACTCACAACCTGTTGATGATGGCATGAAAGTAAGTTTGAACATGCGATTGAATTTCATTTATTATCTTCAGTTCAGAGGTGTATTAACATAAAATCCAGTTTATTGTGTGACAAATAACATCTCAAGTCCGAGAATAACTGTTTAGCTAGTCTGACAAAAAGATTTAGTCTGATTGGAAGAAGTTATTCAAAGTTGAAATGGTTTTCACTCAACACTTAGTGCTCTACTCTGAGAAAAATCTTTGTGACAGAGTGAAACATAATGTTTCTTAGAAATAAATAGGTTGAATGTTGCTCATAATATGAATCTTGATTAACGTGCCATGTTTCTTTATGTCTTGACATGGGTGACTAAAATGAATTGAGAGGAGCGAGTTGTTAATATACGATATGCTTGAAAGTGGAGAGCCTTATCTCTTTATCCATCATTCATTGTGGTTATTTGTGGGCTTCTGCTATTTAAAGTGATAGTTTTTAAATTGTCTATACAAAAACGTTTTATTCGAATTGGACTAGCCTTTAGGGTTTATTAAATTTGACAATGCTTTTATTTGATATCCATGGAATAAAATATTTAAATTATAATAACGGTATAACTAAACGTAATCCACCACTCATTTTTGTCATTTTATATGAGGTTTTAAAGACCAAAGGTTCTATAGTAGTTTGGAATCGTTTATGACAACTTAATTCCGAAGTTTTGCAATTCTGACTGACTAAAAATTCAGTGTTTTAACCTAGAAAGATGACTGCGCTCAGTTTCATGTCAGTCATCAGATAATTGAGTGTTTGTTTAATGAATCTTTTGAATACTCTTCATATATGAATCAGCTTTCCATCTTATTTATATAAACATGAAACTGTAATATAGTGAAGTGTCACAATTTCCGTACCTGTTACAGAAGTAACACTGACGATTGCACAACATTTCCAGAAGCTTTACTGAGTGCTTATATCAAAGTGATGATGCTTCCATTCATTGTATTTTTGTTAATAGCGCAGATTTTGCCAAAAATTTTAACTCTGAAATTGTTTTAACTCTACAAAAAGTGTAGGGGATTTGGTTAACCTTTTCATAGGTGTTTTAAGCACTTAACTTTGATGTGCTTTGGGGAAAACTTAAAGTTTGTGAGAACTATGCTGATGAAGTTGTATCTTATGACCTTAATGCTTTTATCGTAAAACTTTTATTGTCTTTTCAGTTGGCGTCATAAAAAATTTTAAAAATATCAATTTGTATATGAAAACTAACAATTTCGATATTGAACCACCTAAGACTAAAATCTAACTGAATCAGTTTGTTTGACATAAGTTTCTGAATGTGTGGATTTAAATGTGGTCATAAGACATAATAAAGCCCCCGATTTAAATGCTTTTGTGCTGATAGAGAACTGGTATTACTTTATAATAAGGGCTACTGGTTGGCTGTATCTTAGAGTTATAGTGGTTTATACTAGTCTTCTATTCATTCTAAATATTAGCTTGTATAGCCATAGGCATTAGGTGTGAACCAATCTGGGAATGTTTTTAAGGTTTAACTTTCTGTTTCATTGCTAACTGAATTGTTTGGCATTATTCAACTTTGTGGGATATTTACTATAAATCTCATGAGACCTAAATGGTAAAAATGTCAACTTTGTCATGCTTGTATATCTACATGCGTTCTCTAATCGCTTTTGGAGTAAAAATTCATTTATTCGTCTAGTTGCAACTTTGATTTTTAAATCGAGTTTGTTCGGTCAGGTATAAAGTCGAAGTGAAAATCTATAAAATCTTTGACCTCTCTTAGTATGTAAACATAGACATATGTTTGAAAATTCGTAGATCGGTTTCAATTAGTCACGTGTGACTTAAAACCTAATAAACATATATTTGTGCATCGGTTCAAGTTATAATACGGCATTAACAATGCAAAGTAAAATTATTTCTAAAGGAATACCATGGTAGTAGAGGTAAGAACGATATCAGGATTATTAGACGAAATGGGGTAAAGAAAAAGTGGTTTAAAGGTATCATGACATTTTAGAACTCAAATTTCACGGAAAGACAAATGACAAACGCACCTGCCCCACTGCAAGCGATTCTAAGCCATGTCACTCAAAGTCTTCGACCGCGAGTTATGTTAGTCACGTGAAACCCATTCCGTTAGTCTACACCTATCCATATATCTCAGTTCATCTTTCAGTCACCTCAAGAACTAGTGTCCCGTCTTGGTTTGGTCACTCTAAATATTCTTTCAACCAACTCCTATAGAAGGCAACATCGTCCGTTTTTTGACATCATCTAATCAGTATAAAGAACCTGTACGACTTATCCTTCGTGTATTCGGGGTCTTCATTGGTAATTCTCGTGGTCTCTTAGGTGTATTTATGGTATAAAGTGAAAAAGCCAAACAAATTATTTTGGGATAGATTCTTGCAGGCAGTTTCTTGTGCTTTGTTTTACTTAACAGGACAGTGAGAACTCGGTAACATAAAAACGCACGCCGTTTGTTTTCCTCTATCTTCGTCTAGTCGCTCACTGATTACATTCGGATTAGGTAAAAGACAAGTTGTATGGAAGGTTTTTTATCCTAAATCGATAAGCTAAATGCTCAGACAATAATAGTAAGATTGGTTTCGATGTCCAAGTAGATGGTATAAACTAAAGTAAAAGGCACTTAGAGTAGTTGAAGAAAATAGTCTTCCGCATTATGTAGTTAAAGGAAAAACGCACATAAACAATACATAAGAAATATCCATATTGGATAAAAAGATAAATATATGTACTTTATTACGTATTTGGACATAGTTTTTGAAGGAGGGCAATTTAGTTACACCGTTTTCGAACGGCTTTTCTAAGAACCTCTGCTGGTGGTGATTGTATTTAATCGTGTTCTTGACTAGCACGTACTGATAAAGGAGTAAATGGTATCTTTTTGATCTTATAAGCTCATTTAGCAGTTAGTGCTTTAAATTGTTTTTTCGCTTTTACACGCCAAACAAAACGAATAAAAGTTACAGACAACCATTTCATTTTATACCAAAACATATCTCGAAATGTTCAGAACCTATATTCTGTTGTTTATTTCTATATGAATTATGTTCAAAGCTATTTTATTTGATGTCAAATTACATGATTATATGCAAGTTACGGTTAAGTGAGACTATAAATTTAAAATCAGTCTAACCCACAAGGCAGTGGAGCATCGTAAGGAGATGCAGTCCCATGGTAGCCGGTGACCAACGATTGATTCATCGGCCATTTATTCCCTGGAGCCCATGTGTACCATTGGTTTGAAGTCAGGGTTTTCCAACTCCACCAGGTGAACTCGCCATGTCCACCAACCCGTTTAAAGCGCCGGCCGTACCAAGGCGTTTGGGGGCGAGCGTTTAAAAGTGTATGTGAATGATGATTTATTTCTGAACTTGAAGTCAGGTAGATTTCATTGCTTGATCGGTTGGACGCCTGATCCCATAAACTTTTCCTGAAACTTTTCTAATGAATTAAAATCAGCGGAATGCATTATTTGCATGTAGTTACTTACAGTACCAACGTCAATATATGTTGCTCAACCAGTCATCTTAATTATGCGAAGACGCACTTAAGATGTATACATTATGAGTTATACCTGAAAATTTATGAGTATATTCTAAGTAGCTCTACAGGTAGGCCGCTCTGAAGCACTGGTTATTAGTCACTCAGAGTACTTCGTTGTTGGTTAGATCAGATGATTAGCTAGTGAATTAGTCAACTAATCAAGATAAAAGTTTGATGTTGATACTGATTCGTTAGAATTTTGTTAAAATTTATCCAGCAGGTGTTTTACAGAAGTGTACCAGAAAATGTTATGAAAGAACAAATATATGGAGAACGTCTCTATAGACAACTGCCAACTGAGGGTCAAAACATGAATAAATATGTGGTAAACTCATTTTGACGAGATACATTTCGGTTGCACTAGCTAATTTTCCATGCACTTCAGTTCTGCTTGTTTTTTCAGTTAACATTTTACCTACATTTCTGCCCTGAGACTATTGAACACTATGTTGTCATCATAACTTTAAAGCAAGTCGCGTTTCTTAATTGAGGCAGATTTGAACTTTGACTAGTATTATAATAGAGAAAGAGCTATGGGATAGAGACCATCACTTTACATTTGTAAAGTTGAAATGGTATTAACTGTCGTGTAATTATTAGAATCCATAAAAGTTTGAATGGCTTATTGAGAGTGTTTGTGTATAGTGGGCATCTTAAGTCATACGATATTGGTGGTTAATTTTTTAAAGTCACATTTTTGTGAACACCCGTCATCATTTATAACTACTGTATAATTGTCGTAAGCTTTCATTTATGCTGTAAAAATAAGTTTTTTGAAAGCGAAGATATTTTGTGCTCTGAGTAAAATTCTAACATTTCTATAAATCCATTTAATATCCATACTATACAACTTATGAAGTAAGTCTATGAAAACATTTTAATTTTTTCTGCGAACCTCTGATCAGTAAAAACAGTTTCAATCAAAAACTACCACTGAACACAATACGTACTATAAAAATACATTTACTGAGCTTTTGCTTTTTTTAATTTGAACCTATGTTCATTTCTTGACAGTTTTAGGTTGATTCGTGTCATTTTTGCAACATAACGTCCACACATTTCAGATGTCATTTTAAATTATTTTCTTATAAGCACTTAACATGCTTCTAGGCACCCATTTAAACTTGGGCGAAAACGGTATTCTTTTTCCATACTCACTAAAATAGCAATATTATAATAATACAGTGATACTTATACTTTTATTATGATAGAGTTTTCAAGATTATTGGTTTGATGCTAACAAACTAAGATATTGTGTTGTTTTGTTTATAGGGATCCTTAGTTATATTTCATGGAGACAGATTATTGTTATAAAACTACGTTCTAGGTCGAATATAAACCAAATTCAATACATGTAGGCAAAACAATTTCTTACAACATAAGAGTCAGTAATAGTGAAATATCCAAAACTTAATTTTCTTATTCATAGATTCAATTCACCAGTTTATACAGCTATTGTAGTTATTAAATCATGTGAAGTGATTAGTTTGGGAGATGATGGGATAAGGCTCATGAAAATAAGTAAAATATGAACTGTAATCATAATTCAAAGTCAACAGCTTGAACTGTTGAGGAAACAGACGACAGTAAATATTCTTATGAAAGATTTTATTTGAGTTAGTTTTGGAAACTGATATTTTAAATAAGTAAATACTCACACTAAGTGCTCTTGAATATTTGACTTTGAGTTATTCAGTATCAGAGTCAATATTATGTTTGTTGTTTACCTAGAAATCTTATATTTCTTTGAAATCAAGAATTATCAAATAGGTTGCGTCTCATCAATGACCAAGATATATTCGTACAATGCAAGTGAACTGACTAAATCAACATGTCATGCAACTCACTTTAATCTGTAATCATTTATACTTTTCACACTATTTATGTATGTATCTGACTACCTGCACGTTAGGACAGCTATATTCAAAATGTAGTGCACTGAAATATGAATTCCGTGAGCAAGTAGAAAAATATACATTAACAAACATTGATATTAAATCTCTATCATTATCTAATGTTGTAGGATGCGTATGATCGTGTGAAACCGTCTAATTTGTACAACGACATGTCAAATACAGCAAGGTAAAAAATTGTCTTCACTAACAACATCCTAACAATTAATCCTTCTGTACGTTATCAAAGTGGTGAAATGAATGATCTATTCAGTTATTTTTTGCAAATATTTTCTCAATATAAACATTATTAACACGAAGCAACATGAAAATATTTTTATTTTTACCAAATATAATATATACGCTTTGAAAGTTGATTTACTTATAAAAAACTGCTTTAATTAACTTAGCCATTGTTTTTCCCAACTTGATATTTGCTACAAATAACGATCGACGGTAAATTCATTTCAGGTGGAATATTGTTTCTTTATATCTTTTATCATTGTAGATACCATAAGAAAAACCTGGAGATTAATCGTGATTGGTGATTGATCTGTGTTTCCTTAATATTCCCGATAGGTTTGTAGTAAGGTTTTTCCGAGTTACAAATAACATTCATGGGTACAATAGAAGTGACTTATTGCATTCACTGAAACAGGTAGTTTTCGTCAAACGTTTTGTTTAGTAATACAACACATTTGATTGTACTTTGATTTTCGAGCAAGTAAACCTAGGAGATTGAAATATATTATGGTATCACTCAGGGTTGAAGATCTCAACTATTTTTAGTTATTCAGTAATATATACTGCTTGTAATCTATTTTTAACATTATTTGTTAAGAAAGTGATTATTCCCTAATACAACGAATTGAACAACCATTTATTTTTTACTCTTGTCATTACATTGTAGGTCGTATCCAAAATGGAATGATTACGATCGCTCGCGTTCGATCAATTCGTACAAGGTCGAAGATATTCCATACAACAGGTAAAAGCACTCCATTAGTTCATGTCTCGATAACTAGCAAACAGAAATGATTTGTAAGAAACAGATGAGCAGAACTTTGTCTGTTGGTTCATTGTTTCCATCTGACTAAAAATATTACAACCTACAATATTAATTAATTTTTCTTCTTTTATTTCTTGAAATTAGTTCAGTTAGGCTAACGGTAATTAATGGTTAAGAATGATCTTGATTCTCTTAACATGCAACATAATTATTACGAACAGGATAACATTATCATTGACACACACAGCCGTTACACAGTGACCCTCAGACGGTCAAACTCATGAAGAAGGCAAGATATTTACCGCAGAGGAGACTACGACAGAGCAACCCCAAATATGTAGTAATTAAGCCTGACTTTCAAACACAGAGAAGTTGTCAAATTAAAAGTAATGACAACAAATCAGAATAAAACATCAATGGTCTTGTTGAAATACGAATAACGGAAAATGTTATTGTGGTTATACTGACTGAAAAGGAAATAAAATTTAAGGAATTTCGGTTTACCTGAGGTAATCGTGATAGTTTTTCATTATCATCAGTAACACATTCTACATATGAACATGAAAAGAACTCAACTGAAATAAAATGGGTAAAAACGTTATTAGGCAGATACAAAGCCAAACACAATTAGTATCACAGCTACCTTACATGTCAAAGGCTTTGTTCTATTAAATAAAATGTAGTTTATTCCCTGAGTGAACAAAATAGGGAAAGAAAATATGTAATATAAGAATACGTCTTCTTACAATTTAAATATTGCAATACTCATCAAACTTAGGCATGAACTCGACATTATAGGTATCTTCAATAGAATAATAATTAGTAATTACTACAACATTATAGAAACACATTATTAAAGAAATGACGGTAATTGAGGATAAAAAATGTGCATGATATTTCACTTGGATTAGAAAATTAAATCAGTTAAAGCTTAACAACTTCAGATACAACACCTTCACCAAGTGAATGATTTTGAAAATGCTTTTTTAATTACTTATAAAAGTAGAAATATTCGAGACGAATTCGAGCCACGCAACGCATCTCAACACGCAAATAATTTAATGGGTGATTTACCAACACCTAGGTGAGTACTATAATATTTATATAATACATGAAGTTTGGAATTAAAGTGACATAGTTTAGAATGTGGAATAAATTTTAAACTGTTTCCGCAAAATCACACTTTTCAATATGTTAGTAATTTTGCACCAAATAATCAGTACTACATATATTCACAGCATATTGTAAAAGTGACTTCATGCTGAATTCTAAAGTGAAGTGTGATAGTTTTGATCTATTGAGTATTTCACCAAACTCCTACAACCACTATAATTTTACGAAAACACAGAAAATATTACTGACGGGTAAGCCGAATACTAGCACATAATTAAACCAGTTATTCGTTTCTAATGTTATGTTTTTTAAATACTTTTCAATACAGAAATATTCGTGATGGATTTGAACCACGCCAAACGCCTCTATACTCAAATAATATGATGGGTGAATTGCCAGTACCTAGGTGAGTGCTATCACGTGCATATAAACACAGAAGCTCGGTGGTTCTAAATTTCGACACACATATTATTTGTGTGTAACATGTTTGCATTCTATTCTCTATATATGGTTTGGATTTTATTGAACTCTTTCCAACAAGAAATGATGGGGTTTCTAAAATATGTTCTGAATGTTTGTTTTGCCATTGTGTGACTTGAAGTTCACAGTTTTGTGAACTGATTTCATCTGTAACCTACTGACAATCTGTCACTAGATCTTGTTACCTTATTGGTTCGTTTAATGATAACATTGTCATTTATAGTGGTAGCCCTGTTAGTTTTACTTTAATTAGTGTTATTTGACAGTATTGAGGGATTGAATTTCTCGATTCTTTTGGATTTCAAATTATGTGTTGGAATTCATCTCTCTGTATCTCAGATTGACAACACTGGATTTAATTCTGTGACACAATACATTTACTGAGGTGTTAATGTTAGTGTGTCTGATTGTTTGATTGATATGTTTTCTGCTTCTGTCAAATTGTGTTGAAATAGAGTTTGTTGAAAGTTTTTTCGGTACATTGTTCTTTGTGTTTTCTACACGTCTGTGATAATTAGGAGTATATAAATTAGTATACCAACTAGGAATCCCAGGATTAACGTAATTTAATCAAGAAGTATTATATGAGCAAGAACGAGCATATTGTATTTGAAATTCGAAATCAAGCAGTCATCATGTACAAAGGAATCATTCTACATTCAAACACCACATCTGACACAATTTAGAGGAGAATCTAAAGTTCTGTGATCAATCGTACCTCTTCTCGTTAGGTTCACCACGTGTCTGCCCGAATGTGTAGTAGATGTAGACTCTGTACGATCTAGGATATATTCATTAGTATTAGAATTAACAACCGAAATGTGAACAGATTCACCTAGGTCCTTGTATTGCATACAATCACCATATCGGTTTTGTAGTGAAACCACTGATATCTAGAATTTGCATCATAGACTTTCCAACAATGTCCTCCCTCACGAAATAATTTTGAGTCCTTACGTCGCAATGTAATGATTAATTTGACGTTTCCAATCGGTATTGTCTTCTTATATCTAACACTTTGATTATTATATGTATGTATTTTGTGACACGCACTGACATACAATTTGAGGCATTCCGTCATGTGCACTTGACTTGCATACAAAATATGACACAAAGTCCTTTTGATTTTTATATTAGATTATACAGATAAATATGCATTGATATGTGTAATTAACACATGTGATTCACCTAGGCTTGAGTCAACTGCAGGACGATCAAGTGAAAAATGTGCACCTTCTTCATACCCAGTAGGTTAATCTTCGATTCCATTTGAATTTTCTGCCTGTGCAAACTTTATAACTGGGTATACTGGTTCTCTGATTATTTCGGGAAAACGTGCTATTCCCTCTGATTCATCACACTACTGACTGAGGACTATACTCAAAATATGTATCATTACCAAGACTTGATTTGATAATTTTGAATAAATTGAGCATTGGGTAGATTGTTATAAATAAATTATATATTTGTAATATCCCAATGAGTAGAAAAATTAGATTTTCTGACGTTTCGTGACTCAGTGTAAGCCACTTCTCTCATTGGGATATTACAAATATATAATTTATTTATATACTCAAAATACATTGGTTGTGAGAATATCCAACATCTGATATAATGATATCAGATACTTTGACTAGAATTCGACTCATTTGGAACATATTTATCGGATTCATTAGGAATATCACTATAGATAAATCCATTGTGAGGACAAATGACATTTGATATGACATCAGAATTTGATTTTTCTGAAATATTTTCCTCATATTTATTAAGAATTTAATTAAAGAATAATGGATAATTAGAAAAATTAGCATCTACCAAAACTGAATCCGGTTTTTGATCATGATTTGACTCATTCAACATTTTATCTTCAGAGTTGTAAGAAATTTTATCAGAAATATGTGAATCATTATGGCAAACCATATCTGATACAATAACACGAGAAATCCGATAAGAAGTTGGTTGATTAGAAGCTTTTATCTCCCAATGATTCTGGTTTTCATTTAACTCTGAACTACTATGTGACGTTATACCGCTTCTAGAAGTTTTGGATAAAGATAAGTGATCATTAGAAACACTCAACTTGGTGGAATCAAAAATTTTAACATTAGTTTCAGCGAAACGAATCATGGTATTACAAACCGACTGAATTTGTCCAGTTTTACCACATTTAAAGCTTTAGGAATTACGAAATACACATGAACTACATAGGTGAAACTTGCCACAGAACAAGCATTTACCAAACTTGCGTTCATTTTCATGAACTGTTTCACAACTCCCCAATAAATTGTTATCTGAGTTAGCTTGATTACGTATTGGACTGGGACGACATAGTAAAGCAGTGAAATTTCTGGAGTCCTGATCAATTATTTTATTGAATTTTCCTTCTTTATCGCATTCAAAATTTGTATATTTTATTTAGTCTAGTAGTAGTTGCTTGAGAGTTGCATAAGGGAGTGAAATCGACTTGTCTGGAAGTGCCAAAGTCTTTATTAAGCTGTGTGCTTCTTTTCCGATGAATGTAAGGAAATAAGCCACAATATTAACATCCTCAACATCTTCCTTGATCATAGCCCAGATTTCGAAACTTTCCATGTAATCCTTACAGGAATCAAAATCTGAGTGTATGTCCAACCGTTCCATCACGGGCTCCATCGCGACGCTAATGTGATAATTAGGAGTATATGAATTATTATGCAAACTGGTAATCCCAACAATAACGTAACTTAATCAGGAAGTATTATATGAGTATGAACGAACATATTGTATTTGAAATTCGAAGTCTAACAGTCATCATGTACAAAGGTTTCATTAGTTCATGCAAACACCATAATGTCTTTTTTTGTAGTAATTTTTTGTACCATACTTCAAGTTGAGTAACTTGCAACAATTTTCTCAGATAATTCATTTTAAATTTGCATCTTTGAAATAACTTTTAACGTAGAAACACTCACACTGGATACGAACCGCGCCACTTATCTCCATATGGAAGTCGTTCAAATAATTTAATGGGGGATATACCAGACGCTAAGTGAGTGGTATAATGTTTGCATAAATAAGCAAGTATTGTATTATTAATTTGCTAATTGTTTCATTTATGTGAAATCTGTTTTTAGCAGATGTGATCGTCTTAAATTCACAGAGAATGGGAACGGGAAGACTGTTGTTCTTATGTTGCTAATAGAAAGTTGGCGATTGATTTACTCCATCTTCCGTAACATATTAACAACTTCAATCAATACTCTCATTTATGATTTGATTTCACTTCCACCTGTTTATTTATTTACAAGTAACACATATTGTGGTAATTATTTCTAAAGTGTTAAAGGTCTCTGAAATACCATAGATATATTATATTCTACTCCCAGACATGCTGTCTAATGTGTTCAGTTGATAACAAAATATTTTTTTAACATCCGCGTTTTTCACCGTTTTACCAGTTCAAAATCATGCTTTAAGTTGATAATCTATTTGAGTTTCTCCCCCTCCCACATAGTAAGCAAATAATGGTTATGCATCTGACATGCATTGTTTATAATAAATATAAATATATTACAGTTGAAGTGAACTTGATATATTGAAATAATATGTAACCTCTTGGAGTCACCACTCATTTCATACGAATAAGCAACATAGTTACTATCAAATTTATTAGATAACCATGGACAGCTAAAATGTATGCTAAACTAATAAAAACTCCTCGACCACTTTTCAAAGTGATTGTCTCAGGAAAACAAAGTTCACTTGGACTCCTATCATCGAGACGAACATCAACCAAAGTAATCATAAATAGATCTTTATTTCTTCCATAATAAGCAATAGGAACTGTACCGCATTGTAAGCTGAAATAAAGCTTGAGAACAAACTTCAAAGCTGCATTTACTTAATCTGATAAATTACCAGTTGAAGAGTAATTATAGTTTACAGTCAATATTTCCGTTAATTATTGTTCTTAATCTTCTAATCGTTTTTGCTATTGATGGGTGAGAGAAGTGGTTTGACTATATTACTAATAAAAAATATATTTAAATTATTTTCTTATCACCACTATTAAAACCATGAGTTCACTGAGTTTCGGAAATCCAATCCATCTCTAAAGGATAAGAAATTGTTAGAAAATGATGAACGAGTGAGGTCACGTTTTTCACTCTGTAATTTTTGCTCAGTATTTGGTCCGTTTTCAATTTAACTGAAAAATTGTTTAATGTTTGATTTTTAGTCGGTATGATATCTTATTAAGTAAACAATGGCTTTACTTTGATCCGAAATTTATTCAAAATAATATATTTTATGTTGATTTAGTGTGATTTTTCTTTTCTTAGGACAGAGCATAACTGATTATGTAATGATCAGTGTATTTTGTTAATACCATGAACCAATCCATGTTAGATTATCCTTGAGAAATTTAAGGAACCAAAGGGCCGTTTCGTCGTAGTATGGGACGCCTCAGCAGTGTACATCCACGAACCCGGGACCCTTGGGCTCGCGCGCGAACGTTTAACTCCTTGATCATTGAATCGGCATCCAACGGTCCTTAAGTCTAGCTTCAATGAAAACGCGACATTACTCTGTTGTCTCTCATCGTATTCAGTGGAAACTGTTTTTTTATTGCACTGCGTTTTATCGTATGTTGACCCTAGCGAAACCTACATGCGTCCTACCTTCGTATCTTATTGTCGACTTAATTTGCGTTAGAGAATAACGGGCTACATACAAGGATGAATTTTGAATACGAATATTTATCACACACTCGCTGATTTAGACAAACAAATTGAGGAATGGAGCAGAGAAGCGGATCATAGAACGCAAGTGTGCAAACTCAGTTTCACAAAATGTGACTCAATATTTATAACCAGGTAAAAATACGCTAAATACTTGTAATGAATTAGGTAGGCGATACATACATACACTCATATGAAAGTAGTCACAGCTAGTTAGTGAATAACTGACATGGTTAAAATATGAAGCTGGGACAACTCATGTGGACTTGACATAGTACTAGATACCACACTGCCTCACAGCCGACACAGAATAACTCCACGGATCACGGCTTTTCACTAGAACTCCGGAAATTTCACGTTGAAGCTAGCCACTAGTGAGAATGTGATGAGTTTCAAGTAAGTGGCCAAGAGGTTACACGTTCGTGTGTGAGCCCAGAGGTCCTGTGTTCAATTTCTGCATCCAGATTCGTGGTAGTGCATTGCTGAAGTGCCCCCTGCTAGGATAAAACGGCTTTTCGGTTCCCTAAAGTTTTCAACGATGGTTTAACAGTGTTAGGTTCATGATTTTAATGCAACTTAACGATCTCGACAACTCCTTACTAACAATTTGATATGTTTTTTTCTATTTGTAATATTTGTTTATCAATAAACAAATGGGAGAGAAATAGTTAGGTAACTGAGAATGTCGGTTAAAGTTGTTGTTGTGCTGCGGAAAGTGGAATAACTCTTTATCTACATCAATAAATATTTTCTTACTGAGATCGTGCGAACCACAGTTTTTTCTCATTATAAACAATTGTTTGCCTAGTAATTACAGTAATTGCAAAGTATGTTTATTATTATATTTTTTTACCATGTTAATATCAATGCATTTCCAAGAATTACACCACCAGATTTTATTCATTTGGTTTGTAGTGGATGTCTTATATGTGGTTTGTTGACTGAAGTTCTACTTTTCATTGTTTAATAAAATGTTGTTATTTGTAGCTACCTTTCTAGTTGGCTATTTTTAAAATTTGATTTATGGAAAGTTTTTTAATAGAATCTAGTCATAATTAATCCAGTGCTTTTGTTTTCTTTTTCGTCCCCCTTTTTGTTGTTTAACTGTTTACAATATGTATGTGATTGTAACAGTTAGTTTATTTCTTGGTTTGTTTCTTTGGTTTTATTTCATTACAGGCTTGTTCGGGAAACTTATGAGCCCCACTATATTCCTGTGAAATATAACCGTTCAAATAATTTATTGAATAATGTGTCAGAAACTAGGTCAGTAATACAATGCCCTGAACAAATATCGATGGTTTATAAAAAATGTTTTTGAATAAAACAACTTTGTACATTTACACTTTTTAGCAAATGTTCTATTCGTTAGTACGATTCATATATGATTTTAAGATTAAATTCAAACATGATTATTGTAAATAATTTAGTAATTTTAGTAATTTTTCACCAAATAATCAGTACTACATATATTCACAGCATATTATAAAAGTGACTTCGTGCTGAAGTCTAGAGTAAAGTGTGATAGTTTCGATCCATTGAGTATTTCACCAAACTCCTACAACCACTATGATTTTACGAAAACACAGAAAATATTACTGACAGATAAGTCGATTATCAGCACATAATTAAATCAGTTATTCGTTTTTAATGAATTTAGACACAATGATCTTCTCAAATTATTTATATTGTTATATTTTTTAAATACTTTTCAATACAGAAATATTCGAGATAGATTTGAATCACGCCAAACACCTCTATACTCAAATAATATGATGGGTGAATTGCCAGTACCTAGGTGAGTTCTATCATATGCATATAAGCACAGAAGTACTAAACCATACTAAGTTTTTTAGTGTTTTGGTTTAGTGTTTGTTTGATATGCTTTCTGCTTTCGTCCAATTGTGGTGAAATTGGATTTTTTCGTGGATACACACTGCTGAGGAGTCCCATAATAGGACGAAACGGCCGTCCAGTGCTTTCAGGTTTTCCATGGTGGTCTAGCTTCAATTGATTCATGATTTCAACTATGGAAAATAGAACTTGTGGAAAGTTTTTTGGCTTATTGATGTTTGTGTACATTTCTTGTTTTTATATCATTTTTCAGTATTTATAATTCTTTTAAACATACGTTACACACAATCGTTTTTTGTGCAGCTATGCACAGTATTCGCTGTATTACTTATTTCATATTTCTTATTATCAAATAATGATTTATTGTTACATATTTTTAATTCCTCTTTTTTTAACATTTTTTTTAGTTCTGTTTCTAGTAATGGAAACACATATTCATACTCTATTCCACAGCGTCCTAATTTGAAAATAATTCGAGAGTAAGTTGTATTGATTGTATAAATGTTTTTCCTGGATAGTCTTTTTGTTTTAGACAATAAAATGTTTTTTTTTGTGTAAAACAAAAAATGAGTCTATTAGTATCACATATATAAAATTGTTATATTTAATAATAAAGTTCCTATTGAGTTCTGTAATACAGTAACTTATAAACATGTGACTGAAATTTTTTCTGTTTTTGTTCCGTTATTATTTATATACTTGATATTCAGTATTGATTTTTAACTCCTGTTTATTTTACTTTTGTAAACATTATCAATAAAATATTATTTGACATGTTACATTGCTTGTTCCGAGTTGATAAAGATTATGTAATAATAGATGAGTTGTTATATATACTGGCATTACTAAATCTTGTTATTTATGTAATTAGTTCCCTTTATGAATTTAAGTAAAGCCAGGGCAAATGTCGATGCAGAATATATTTTTTGATTTCTCGTTAGCTGCTTACAACCAAATACGTATTAAAATTTCAATATTGAGATAATAAATGGTATGGAACAGTTGATATAAGTGAATATAAAGGATTGGGATGACAAAAGGTTATCAATGATAACTGAGATATTATCCAGTCCAGGTGTTTTTGCGATGAATGTGTCTTTGTAATGTACCTATAGATGTTCGTCTAATTCCAATATCTAGAAAATGGAATTTATCTTCAACTTCATGTTCCATAGTAAATTCTATATCCTTGTATATATTATTAAACAGACAGAGTAGGTTCATGGAATGCTTGTGATTGTTACAAACAAGAAATGTTTTATCAATGTATCTACAGTAGAGTATGATACCATGAAATATAATTAGTTCATATTATTCTGCATTAATATTTGTTCTGGTATCTTATTGAGTTTGAATTCAAAATTTACAAATTTCAAATGGTTAAACAATCTAATTTCTATTTAATGTTTTGTTTTAGCGAGGATACATATAACAGAAATGCGGATTAGAATATAAAATAAGATTGTTTTCATCAAAAATAATGCACCATGGCAAATACACCAGAAATGATGGTGGTGAGTAATATATTTGATAATAATAATACTTATGAACTGGTACAAAATATAGATGTAAATTGAGAAAAACATTCATTTTGTACTGCAAATATACTGAAATCATACGATTATTCTCTGTTAGAATTTTACTCAATGATAATAGAAATAAATTCCATTAGAGTTGATTTACCTGTGAGGTCTAGATAAATATCAGAATAACGGTTTGTGGAGATTGCAGTAATTTAATGATTGAATCTATGAGTCAATTTAAGCGAGATTATGGATGCATAGTGCTGAGGAGTCTCATATATAGACGAAACGGCCGTCCAATGCTTCCAGGCTTTCTATGATTATCTAGCTTAAATCGACTCATGAATTCAACCATTAAATCTTTAAAAATTATTCAAGACTATGTTTTATGGAATAATATATTATACCAAGAAAAAAGAGTTTTAGAATAGTATTTAAGAAATTATTCATAAAAAATTTCCAGAAAGAATGTTCATGCAAAATTAAATGAAGAACTGTTTTAACACTATACATCTTGACAATACAGAATTAGTTAGCATGAAATGACTCAATGGTCTATCAGTTAAGTGCTCTGGTGCGAGACTGGTAGGTCCTGGGTTCGAATCTCACGAGGCGAGATCGTAGATGCGCATCGCTAAGGAGTCCCACAATAGAACGAAACGGCCGTCCGGCGCTTCCAGGTTTTCCCTGGTGGTCTAGCTCCAATTGACTCATGACCTCAACTGTATAAAATTACTAAAATCTCTACAAAACCCCCTTCTGATAACATGAAATAAGTTGATCTTTTTTTTGAAAGTCATGTTTTCGGTAAAAAAAAATTTCCGCCTTTATTGATTGTTTATTTCTACTTCATCTGTGATTGTTTTAATTTTATGTATCTTTGTTTTTTTAAAAACTTTTCAGATTTATAATTAATAATACAGTAGAATTATAGAATATGAACAATCTTTATCTCAGTATAAACAAATTATTTTTTTTAATAATATTTAGTAATTTTTAGTTATATGTAAAATAAGATTTTGTTTGTATTCTGTATTAAATATAAAATATTCAATATGAAATTCTATATTAATGTTTAAACTTTTCTGAGTTGAAGAATTATACTTCAGAAAATTATTGAGTAAATTAATTTGTCAGCAAATTTTAGCATAATAGTTATTTACTTACGCCCGTCACTCTTTGTGGAGGAGCATTTGTCGCTGACAGGTATCTTCTATCGAACTCTGTTCTAGCTGATCTCTTCCAGTTATTTCTAATTTCTATTCATCATTTTGATATAAACTGACAAGTTCCGTTCAATTAATTGTCCAACGATGACCTGTAGTGTTGAAGTTTGATCTTTGCATGATCGATCCTCACGAATCCGGCCTGCTGATCTCGAATCTGAACCTCAACTGAAACTTAAATCCGGTTCAGCAAAATTATGTTGAAAACTTTTCCTAATACTTATAATAGTGTGATGACTGTATAGTTCTCTTATTTTCTAAGATCTCCTTTCTTTGGTATCTTGATGAGATAGCTTTCTCACCAGTCTATCGGCATTTATTCCCCCTTCCAAATCTTCCTGGATAGAAAGTGGAGCAGATTATAACATAGTATATTAATAAAAATTGTACCTAACATAGAATACTTGCACGGTTGTGTTAATTAATAAACATAATTAAATATTTCAGTTATTTAACAAGTAGGATATAGTAGCAAAGAATGACATAGTTATATTAACAAAAATGCTGCAAATACGCAACTGGAACTAAAAAGATAATTTCCTGTAAAAGTAATCAGAAATAGAACTTAATAAACTAGCTAACTTTTAAATAAGTATGTTTTCTTTAGGTTTTTATCATCATAAATATATCTGCGCTATAAAATCATGAAAAAACTTTGTTATCAGTGAAATGACAGTTATTTTAGCAGGTCAGCGATCGCAAATAATCAGATATATCACATATCATAATTTTCCTTTTGATATTGTAATATGTACCAGCTTACTAAGGGAAATATTGTAAATGCAATATACAGATAGGTCTAGTGCATTCAAGCAAGTGGTGTTAATGAAATAATGAGACAATTAATCGTAAAGAAGAATAAGCACGTAAGAGAAATATTTTGTTGCATACAATATAATTAATAGTGTTAGTAAGTAATGAATCAGCTCTTGATATAATACCTCATTCATTCATTTGTTTGTCCAATGAAATACTACTATTTTCAACAGTTCAAAACAATCGTGAATAAATCATCGCATATTACGAAGATAATTATGTACACAACTATACATTTATGAATCATGAATTTGGCAATAAATATTTATTGACAATTTTCATCAATTTACTAACACCTGACACAAAATACCAGTATGATGGTTATTTGTATTATCTTAAAACAAACAACCTCAAAGTACACTTACTAGATGTGAGAGTGAGAAATTCAATTTTTACTGTAAATACAAGTAATCGTATGAACCCATGATCCATCATAAGAAGGGGTATACAGTTAACGAGTTGTAGTCGTTACTTACATCTTAAATGTTTGGAACAATTTCTATGATGCAATATGTTTTTCTAACAAACACTCAAATAATTGTTTGAATAATAGTATTTTCTGCATTATGATGTGCTGCAAAAGATAATCGATTACAGATAACTATAAGTATATAAAATTACCATTCTATTAAATTCAGTATTTGTCAACTACAATTTGTGAATTACAAATGATTGTATGGTTACAACCATATTAACTGGAGTTACACAACCCATTTTAGCCTAATATAACTTTAGTAATAAAAGAAAAAACCAATTATAGCTTTCGTTTTCACAGCTGTTGAAGGATTTTTGTAATACAAATATAAAGTTATATACATGTACACCTGCAAGTTCAATTTCCTCAAAGACGATATAAAATGTCAGTACGATCCTTTGATTAACTGTGAAAGGATATACTGTTTTAGATTTCTATGCTTTTACTACTTAATTATTTTATTATCATAATACTGGGGAGTATACTTATCCGAATAACGTGCTATTTACAGATCAGACTTTGTATGAACTGATGATACTAAAATTGGCAAAGGTTGTAGTGTCCTGTTAATACGCCTTGTTGTTTGCATAGTTACCGGTTTTACAGAGTATATATCTGCTTTAATGGCAAATTTTAAGTCAAACTAATCCATCTTGTTTAGTCATAAGATTGCTAAGATAAGCAAAAAATATAGAAAGAAATTAATACTTGGTCCAACAGTTATATTTAATTATTAAGTCTTTAACCATAAAATTCATCATTATTTATCGCATAGTTAATATACACTGCAGGTATCTTGAATCTAACAGTTTCCGATTGCTGAAGCTGAAAATGAAACATCAATATCAGTAATAGTTCTATCCATAGGAAATAAAGGTTTATGAGTATACATACAAAGTACTATGGTGCATATCATTTCCTCGAAAGTCCTACAATGTGTCTAACAAATACAATGGATATAATTGTTTGCTCATCAGTAAGATGTATAAAAAGTATCAGTTGTGGGAATCAGCAGTACCACATAATTTACTGACAGATTTTGATAGTAGCACCCGTTAGTTATGGGGAATTTTGTTTTAAGTTATCTTACATGAATATGACTGTAATTCAGTAAATTAAAGTCTGTCTTTGTTGATTGTAGTTTGCTGTAAGATGCTTTCAAATGTTTGAAATTGCACACACTTAGAAATTGTAATACTTTTTATGCATGTACGGGATAAGTAGTGATCCAAACATAGTTATTATCAATAATTATGAACAATCATTGAAAAATAGTTGGTATTAAAAAGTGAGTGCATAATAGCTTGATTATGTAATGCTTAGTCGATGCAGTTGACGGTAAGCAATTTTCAAATACTTCCTGAAATTTATTAAGTGTAATATAAAGTTTGAAATCTCATTATGATGGTCGAAATATACCCATAAGCCAACCTGACCATTGTAACTCACAAATCATAGACTGTGATTAGCTTGAAGAACAATGTACAGTAAGCTTTTGTATCATATCTCCATAATCCATTAAAAAGTAACAGAAATTGTAATCTTTATTACCGAAAAGATGAAAGATTGAAAACATTTCGCTTCTACATGACGTTAGTGCTATAGGTTTTACCATCTGAAGTCAGTCTGTAGCAAAAACAAAGCGTGAATTCAATTTATATGAACATCTAATCACATAAACAGTGGTTGTTTAACAGCTAGTGACTAACGTTTTTATTGTAGTGCTAGTATTCCGACGAGAAGTCATTTTTATTAGAGTTCAAACAAGTTGAGACCGTATAAGATATAATCTATAGGGTAGATTATCGTCCCAAAGCATCTCCAGCTGACTCAGGCGGATTGTTAGATTCTAACCCTGTGATATAATGAAGAGAGCTCGCCGAAATGGCTGGAATTTATGGATCCAGTTTATAAAGCGACTGTGAGTGAACTATATAAAGGGGTCCTAAACCTAAATAAAACAGCTGTCATTTTCCACCTGTTCACAGTTGGTATCTACGAACAGGTACTAGGTCCATTCTTTGATTGAAAAGAATATGTGCAGACAGCAAATGTGGAGACTTTTAGTCAGTAATAAGAGTTGGAATATTTAACGTATTCAGTATATAAAAATTTTAACGAAGTTTGACATATTAACATAAGCTCTACATTGTTAAATGTCTTACTGTAAATTACTAATAGTATAAATAGTTTCTGCATCAACACCATCGTTATGCTACTAAATAAATGAGTGAAAAAATATGCGTTTCTTTTATCATGAATTTTGATGTTTTTCATCTAACTACCTTTCATAACGTTTTTACAGATATCGATGTATTCTGTCATCATAGAGGTTTTAATCAACCGATAAAATCAAGGCAATTACTAGAAATGTGAGGCTTCATTTGGTCTCTCACATTTATCTACTA